CCCCTGAATTAGCCTGCGAGGCTCTCAATACTTATTTCCTTGTTCTTCCTTGACAAATAATCTGCCGTTTACATAAATCATTTGCAACTGCGTGGAGCATTCTTTGCGCCCACGAAAAGTTGTACTCTGGGCCTTTGTCCTTCATGTTGTCAACCACGTTTCCGGAACTGTTGAACATCGCGCGAAGAACACCCAACGTATCGGGGATGTTCTTTTCTAAACCGCCATCAACCGGCTTCGCATCTTGTCGATAAATGCCGAGTCTAGACTCTTCAGTGGCACCGAGAGCGTCGAATGCGTTATTGAACATCAGGCTGTGGGGATGGTAGAAGTTCTTCTCCCCAGGATTGCGCTCATTGCATAATTCATCGTAGGCGTTGATATCATTCTTGAATGCAGCATCATTTTTGAGTGCCTCGATTTGGGATTTTATCTTGTCGTTGGTTTGCCAGTCGCGAGGAAGATGGAGAATATTGTTCAAAAAATGGTCGGAGGACATGAAAACTCGGTTTCTGAGATCTTCCAGGATGTACCGTTCAAAATCTGCCGCAAGATGATCCGCGTTGGCTGTGGGATTCACAGTTGCGGCACGATTGCTGAGTGGCGTACTCTGTGGAGAGGAGCGTATCTGTTCAGTTACAGACTCTTTTAGCAGCGGAATCTTTGTCTCTGGAATGGAGGGGGGACCAGAGCGATAATTCGCATCTCTCGAAGAATTTGAATCGATGTTCGTCATAATATCGCCACGATAAAATCGATTTAGGTACATAGAGAGCAGGGGGTCAAGGAAGAATACCGCGACAGCCATTTTCTCGTGCTTTTAAGGTCGCGTAGAACAGCAGTGAACTTGTTAGGAGCACGTGGTCGTTTCTACGACTGGGGAATGCCGAACATTCTTGTCGCGTCCGATTATCTTCTCTCCTTCTTACCCTTACCCTACAAAGAGTCTGCCATTGTAGCTTTCTTCTCCTTTCCCTCATCTCTTTCCTGGCCGGCATCCACTGACAAGTCTTCCTTCTTCCCCGGCTTCCTTCAGTTCAGCGATATTTCTGAAGCCTTTGTTTACTTTCACTAAAAATCCAGAACCTAATGATGGAGCACTACCGATATCAATCAACGTTCTCAGTCATCGTGCAAAGCATTATCATCCATAATGCGATGTTATTTCCAAGTACCAAGATCTACCGGGAACAATGTCCATCGATATCGAACCGTGGGATATTATACTTGACTCGAGATGCATGAAGGGTGTGAAGTGGTGACCAACATGAGGCCTTTACGGGTCGTTTCCAGGTAAGTACTCACTTTCTCGCATATTGTGCCGGACTCGTAGAATTTTAACGTATACAGTTTAATTTTTCTACGATGTATTACTCCCGCCTACAACCAAGATCCCATGTATTCAAGTATAAGAAAAGTTTCTGAGAACACGCTTATCCTTTCTCCATCCGCACGCTTTTGAGGACGTCTCAAACATGATGTATGAACAAGTGGACCTGTGAAGTCTAAGAGTGCTCCGCTACTACCACTTCCATTTTTTCCTTCGAATGAACGAAACAAAAAGGTATAATTTCTCCCACTTTTATCTCTTGTATGACTGACAGACTACCAGAAACTATGTGACGTCTCTCCTGCCTTGCCCATCAGCTAATATTCCTGTTTGAATGCCATCCAAGGCTGCCATGCGTGTCCGGCATGGCATCCATGCGTGGAATGGGTCTGTGTGACGACATACAGTCGCCCAGCTATAAGTAAGCATGCCACCACCATAACGCAAACCTTCACGTCGAATCATGGCTTCCGTTACGTCTGAAGATGTTCTCCTTATCATTGTGTGTACCTTCAATAAGAAACGCCGGTCGCTTCACTGATTCAAATACTGCTTTAGGTAGCCGTCCTCCTTCCACCAATAGCGGTCATGTTGATGAAGCGGCCCCTGGCGGATATCCTCATAAACATCATCCTGACTCTCTTCTTCTGGATCGGAGGAGTAATTCATGCATTGTACTTGGTATACCAGAGACGGAAGTCATGGTGGTGAAGGTGCCATAACTCGTCCAGTGTGTTTGCAACTGCTGATTTAAGACAAACAGAAATAACGATTCTCTAACGATATATATGCTGTTGTGATTCGCTTCAATCCTTGAATGTCCATGTCTTTTCAAACACAGGTCTTGATGTTATCGGAAGTCACCAAGCAATTCTGTCCCAAGCATGATGCAGAAGCTGCATACACCATAAGAGGGCGACGTCGACTCAGAAGTGATGTGCAGCAGCTGTACAGCGAAACCATGCACGAGACAATTGGCGCTGCGTTTCATATGCTCTTTGTTTGGCTAGTATGTTTGGGCGCGTAAAGAGGCAGGTATGTTGATAGGACGAAGTCCCCAAGAACAGCCATTCTGACTATCTGTACATGAGAAAAAAATGTACGTCACTACTTCCGTAAAACCTCGTCGATATCAAAAATGCAGCGTCGCCGACTCTTTCTGAGATGCGGATCCAAGTTTTGATTCAGTCCTCCATGGCGGAGGAGGTAGTTTCGTCCTGTTAAAGGTAATAGCGCGCAGTTGTCTTGGGAAGAGCAAATTTGAGCAGCCAGGGTTGTAGCAATTTCCCGGGGGTGACATAGACTTCCTTGTCGTCCTGACTTTCTTTCTTGCTGAGCTCTACACCGTTCTCACCTTCCTCATCATCTTCGGCATCTGTATCTTCGCTCTGACTAGGAATATAGCTGCTGTCATCGAGATCACTTATGTCATCGGGATCGCTCTCTGGGTCGCTCTTCTTCTGCGCTCCCCGCCCCGCTCTCCGATCCGTTGCTCTCTTCCGCTTCTGTTTCTTCATCCAGATCAAAAAAGAGGCATTCTGGATTTTCGACGCGAAGAATTACATGAACTCCGATTTCCTCCAAATCAAGGCCATTTTCAAAGAGTGCATTGTCGAGACGAGGCCAAACGTGAGTGGGAACAGGCAAATTGTCGATACAATCGTGATCGAAACGAAAGTCGAAGATGAGAAGAAGCTTCTTAACAGGGAGCTGCTCTGGAGATAGGGTTTCGAGAATGGAAGAGAGCCACAAGGGGCCTTCCCCGCTATCATTCCAGTCATCGATAACGAGGTGTAAATCGAGAGCGGTGCAAAGCGGGAGATGAACAGTGTCAAAATTACGAGGAGCACGAGGGCCTGCTCTGTCTGTGATGCCATTACAATACTGAACAGACAGACAGAAATGACTCACATGTGCCCACTTCATGCTCACCCAAGTGCAATCGCGACACAGACTGGGCCAGTGGAGAGTGGAGAAAAGCTATGATTCTGTCCGATATCACCATATTAAATGCGCCTGTGGCGGTAGAAATCGCCATTCTCTTGAGGCTCCCTGGTAGAAGGACAGGTGATGCAGAGGATGCCAAAAGATCCATTACTTTGTAATCCGAGGGTGTCGCCAACTTAACGATTAAGCGCTCGATCGGCAGCTTAAGAGCTGTTTTTGGCTGAAGGTCGTGATAGAACGACTGGGGATCCTCCCATGCCACAGCTCTCAGTTCATTGAGTTTGCCAACCATGGAAAAATGCCCGATGATCGGAAGAAACTCATTAAACTCGTCTATGTGAAGGTCGGATATAAGGAGGGAGCTAAGCGATGGGCTTGAGCGGAGGATGGTCTCAAATTCGTGGAATTCCATGGACATGTCATAGAGGTGAATTCCGTGAGATTGGCATGGTTGGCGAAGGCAGTGAAGAGGGAGACCTGGACCTGGCGTCGGGTGAGTTGAGGTTGACGATGTTCAACGTCTGTCAGTTTAATGCCGTTCAGGTTCCCCATCTTTCCAAGGACAAAAACAAAGTTGGGCAAGGCAATATTTGCGTTGCGGTCCTGGTCATCAAGAACCAATATCCTGAGATCGACGTTGCCAAGCTGTCGTTAGATGCGAAGAGGGCGCGAAGTTTAGAAATGTCATTGTCAAGATCCGACTCAGATGTGCCTCCTCTAAACCTGACAACCCGAAAAATCAATGCTGTGGCTCGTTTGCCCACTTCTCGAGAGGTCAACGACAGATTACACAAGTCTTTCATACTGGTACCCGAAGAATTGTAAACCTCGTCGGTGAACTCGAGAGGCAGCACTTGGTGTCCCTATGGATGCGATGAGAATGTGCAACAGAGAACAATCGCAAGCCTACGCACAGGGCGAGTAGTCGCCATTGTGGAAGAGTTTTGTTAAGCTTGAGATTTTTCAATCGGACTCGACATTTGACTGGAATATTATAGCATAGTGATCTGCCCCTATAAAATAATGGCTACTCAGTTCGGAATTCCCTCTCTAAGAGCAATTCAAGGTTGGGGGGAAAGTATAGTGGACCCGATCGTTAGGTCACCCAACTCTAACGCAAAGCAAATGCACAGAACTGAGCACGGAACACAACTCACAGCTATCATCAGATAGTCCCAGAGCGTCGTTGAGGAGACGGTTGGCAGACAAAGTATGGGAACTGCAATGTACCTGAATCGCCGTGGGACCGAAAGGAAAGAGAAGCTTCAATTCCAACTTTGCACGAAGCGGCAATTCCCAAGATTCAACGTCAACTTTTCTCTTCGCGATTTAGGTGTCTCTTTGATTTGCCCGCGTAGCCATAATTATGCGTGTAAGAGTGCTTGCTTTCAGGGAAAGACTGGACTGGACTTTGCCTGAAGAAGGCATAGAGCTAATGTGACCGTCTTCGAAATCAAAACCGAAGACAAACACGAACGCAAGTGTTGTTCTGAATTCGAAAAGTCTTCAGGTCCAGTGTGAAAAGTAACCTGTAGCACATATAAAGTTGCACTTCATACCAGGGACGTTGCTGCAAGAAACCGAGGCAATGATCGTCACAAGGAGCCTGGAAAACGCCGGGCTTCTTGTGTAAGAAGTTCTCCTGCATCTGCGTCTGCAGAAGAAAGAATCTGGTGCTTACGAGAACCAAAGCAGTTATTGCTCTTGTTCTACAACATTAAAGCTCTGCCGTATGGAAGACACGGTCGCTGTCGACTTCGTGAAAACGCAGTCGTAATCGTCTCAAGGGGAGGCGGGCATTCCGATCCACCAACATGTCTAAATTTAGGAAGGACCTACTAGGATACGCGATGCTTCACTTGAAATCTCCCCAAATATCTCCAAAGACATCATCCTTCTTCTGTACTGTCGTCGTCGTTATAGCCCCCGCACTAGCGAACGAGCCAAAGAGATCACTCGACGCCTGATTAGTCCCGTTTGATGGCGCAGGCGCTCCCCATATTGCAGCACTGCTAGCAAACAAAGAAGGCTGCTGCTGCTGCTGCGAGGCCGGGGCGCCCCAAAGATTTTGCTGGGCAGCGGGAGTTGTTGCCGTGTTCCATCCTGAACTGACGCCCCACATGCCTGTACCACCCGTTCCCATCATGCTTGTTATCTGCTGCTGCTGTTGGGGCTGAGGTTGTCCCCAAGGCGAGATGGGTGCAGGTGCAGCAGATGGGGGAGAAGAGAACAAAGACAGGATGTCCTGCTTGACGTCTTTCTTCATCTGAGGATCCTGCTGCGGAGATGAAGATGTTGAAACAGGAGAATGAAAGTCGAGTGAAAAGAGGTCATCGCTTGGTCTTGCTTGCGGTGGTGGCGGGGATGGAGCTGGAGCAGTAGCAGGAGGGATAAGTTGAGTCTTTTGCTGTGACGCGTAGCTGGCGGAAAGAAGATGGTGGGGCTGGGGTTGACGGTTGGTCACAGGAACGCGAGCAGGGCTGGCGCGTGCAGTTTGGAGCGCCGGGGTAGCTGGTTGCCGTTGCTGTTGTGATAGTGGCGGAGGCGCAGCATCTGATCCGTTTTCCAGTATCGATGGATCTCGTGGTGGGGGTCCTTCCATTGCCCACCGACGTGATTCATATTTAGATCGTATAAAGGATTCCATTTTACTGCAATATTCAAAGTTAGGGTACATTCCCGTTCATTGAAGGCCACGAACTGATCAGGAGGGATATGTCCAGCTTTGAGATGCGCTTCCCAGTAAAGATTCGCTCGGTGGTTTCCCCATTTTTGGATGGACTACACATATCAGAAAACATAGAATTGGACGGCACGCTAACAGCATACCTCCATTTGCTCCGGGGTCCAGACGTCCAGGTCTACAGACTTGACACGACTGATATGGGTGCCCATGCCACGATGAATGCCTGAACACCGTATACAGAGAAAGACGCCACTTGAGCTTTGCGTGAGCTTGCAGTTCAGTTCGACAGATATAAAACCTAATACATGTTCCAGGATGCCCATCGAGGATCTACACAAGCATGAATTTCGACTTCGAAATATCAGTCTGATAGGCGCACCATTTCGCTTGCAGTCTGCACACAGCTTATTTTCTGGTTTCTTTACTAGCTCTCGTAGTGTCTTTGTGAATCGCTCTGTGGTCGCTTTGTCCTGGCGGGACATGATGACGGTAAGCTATCAAGGAGGCAACCACGCGTCGTTCCTCGATAGCTTGTATTTGGCCCTGTTTCCTATGGGTGACGATAAATGCTTCCCGAAAAGGAATTGAATGTCGATCCGATCTCCATCATCTCCGAGTCCTCGAGCTCAGCCGCAACTCTGATTTTCTTTATTCCAAAGGACATCATATACAGATTATGGCGCATTCTAGAAAATAGCATGCCACTCTGGGTGGATTAACTAGTGGTCATGTCTAATAACTATTCTACTATTTTTATATGTCTTTAAAAACTTTTTGAGTCTTGGGAAATTCTCTTATTCTTGATATGGATATCAAATTTCCGCCTGTCAGTAAGTAGCCTAACTGACTATACCGTATCCAAGTATGGCTACATAGAAGCTCGTCTGTCTATCTATATAGTATATTTCTACCGAAAAAAGAAAGAATGGGTAGTGCAGTGCCCACAGGTTCGATCAGCCAGGAACGTGGAATCGTCGATTCAGGGGAATTCTTGTATGCAGAAGAGCATAAAATTTACTATAATTTAACGAGCTTTACAACAAAAGTCCCGAAACTATATGCAAGTCCATCCCTAAATCCTTTTACGCGATACGATAACAAATATCAGGAACACTCAAGCACTGGATGCTTCAGTAGACGCTACAGATTGCGTTAGTGGTGGACCTCAAGCACAAGAGGCCAGATAAATACTCGCCAGAAGATACGGTCGCGGTGACTTCGTCAATGAATGACCAGGTGATGTTCACTATACGAGTTTAGATAAGAAATGCAATATGATTCGAGTGACTCACAAATTCCCGCATCGAGCGATCCTGCCAGGGCTTCGAAGGCAGCAACAGAGAGGTAGGCATCATTCTCGGACGAATCGCCGACGGTGACCTCGATGGAAGTAGAATTGTCGTCGGTCAGGGAGACAATAACCTATGAAAGACATATTATTGAGCCATTCCAAACTTGAAGAGGTTGCGTGTCACTCACCGACCTGCCGCAGTTATTAGTGTAGTCGGCGGTCACATACTCGGAACTCAATCCAATGATATAGTCAGTATCGTTGAAATATACACCGCAGGCAGTGAGGGTGCTATTCTAATGGATGGTCAACTTCCCATATTAAATAGAAGACGAAATCCTTGCCTGGAACCCGTAGTAAGCTTCAACGGACTCGGAGCGTGCTTCAAGTGTTGGACTTGAAAGACGGCTCTTCAAGTGCCTCTTGAGGCTGTTGTCATGGACGGTACCAGCAAAGACAGCGGAGGCGAAAGAGAGAAGAATGACTTTGGCAGAGAAAAGCATGCTTGGAGAACCTGTGTTTCCGGAGATAAAAATACAGATAGGCGTAGAATGAGAAAGAGGTGCTTACACAGAGGGAGTGGGATGTGGAAAGAGTGGTGGTGAGCTCGAAAGTGAGGCAAATAGAAAATAATCGATAAAGATTGTTCGAGAAGGACCCGAAGCTTTTGTATTCCTAGGAGAGTGCTGCGCTGCCTGCGCTCTCGCAGCAGTTGCACAGGAAATCTTTAATTACAGGGATCTGCCATTTTCCGTAGCAGTTACCGCGGGCCTCAGACCGGTCGGTGTTAAAGCATATCAATCTAGGCCTACAATGAACATGAATAACATTGAGGCTGCTAGAGATCCTCCTAGCACAAGCATATAAGCATGTACTGACAACTCCTTTATAGGGAAAACAAGTAGAACGTCCAATTTCAGAGAGATTTCAGCTGCACGATGGTTGTTGGGTGGGCGGGCCGGCGCGATCGCGTCTGATCGGGAGTCCCACAAAAGGTACATTGTCTAAGCATGCCTTTCCTCCTGTATACATTCTCCACCACCCGCACACCATTTACGCGTGTTGTACTCAAATTACTGCTGCGTTTCCCTGAAAACATGTAGGCACCACCGAAAAATGCCGAATTTCTTATATTTCCATGGCTGCGCGCAACAAATCCGACCTAAATTCTTGATCTAACATTCATTATCAGTGTGACAGTCAGGCTGTTCATAACACTGGAGGGACCTGATCTGCTGAACTTGCAAAAATAACATCAGTTTGGGACAACGTCGTGATGCCATACAGAGGAGTACTTTGCTATTTATGCCTCCGGGAAAGCCGAGATCGCTATGGGCAAGATTGTTTCTGCGCCCAAAATTCGGGGCCTGATGATTGTAGACAGGGCACTGTCATAGTTTTCCTGCAATGGTGATTCTTTATTTCAGTCAGTAGCGATGGGACGGAGAAGCTTGCGTCCGTCGAGTTGGTATCACCAGTGGACAGATGCAGTTTTTGGCGCCTCAGCACCAAAAAGTTCCCAATCAAGAGGTGTTTATTTTAGCATAGGTCGCTGGTAATCACGTTGTCTACAAGCCTCTCTACCACTTCCCCACCGAAAATTGGTGAATTCATTGAGCGCGTTGATAGATGACTTATCAATTTCCGCATGTTATCTGCATGGTAGATCACCATGAACTGGTCAGGCCTTGTCCAGGCGCAGCAAAATGGCCTTCTCCTCGTGCCTGAAATACGAGAATGGTGGAAAGTCCTAGTTCCAGATGATGCCTGGAATTCAGAGTATTGGCTGTGTTGAAATGGTTTACTTTGTATTGGAGTCATGGGTGTAGGTTATACACCTGATGAAAGATGAACGGATTTCCTGGCCCACAAGTACTGTATTCCGGTACAAGTTGAACCGTGCGTGGCAACTCGGCTCCGCACCAAGTGATGTCAAGCACCTCTAAAGTATGCGGCACTGCCACCTCTCCCTTCTTCATCCCGTTTTCTACTGCCATTTTTCTGCGTATCTCCTGGCTTTGTGCAGAATACGGTTTTTTCTAACCAGATGTTCCAGAAGGAGAAACCCGTTCATTCGTTGTATGTGAAACGTCTCTGTCAGGTTTTTTAAGTATTGACTTGGAGCAGAATCGCAGGCGCGTCAGCTGGTGCTATTGAGGCGTATGTTCTCCTCAGACGATAGATTTCGATTCCTCATGATGGGAAGTTTTATCACATACCCTACAGAATTTGTCAAAACACGGTCGCAATTCGGTGGAAAGGTCTGGCATTTGTGATTCTTGTGCGCGCCCTAATGGCATCTACTGCAGAGACAAGGGCCCATAACGATTATCAAAGAGACTCTGAAGAACAAGGGCATCGTTGGACTTTACTCTGGATGCTCAGCACTAGTCATCGGCAATGCTACCAAGGCTGGCGTGCGGTTCGTGAGTTATGATCATTTCAAGCAAAAATTGGCAGACTCTCAGGTATGTTTCAGTTTTGTCATTGATATTGCTACATCTGATGTTGATTTGAGGGCAAAGTGAGCGCACCACGGAGTCTTGTTGGTATGGTTTATCGCACCTCAGCGTTGTGTTACATGCTGATGCAGTTGGCTACAGCGGGTTTGGGCGCGGGCATGATGGAGGCACTACTTGCCGTGACGCCATCAGAAACCATCAAGTGCGGGTTTTTCGCTTTATTGTCCACCGTGTACTCATGAAGGTTTCAGAACGAAACTCATAGATGATGCCAATCGACCGAATCCACAGTACCGCGGTCTCGTACATGGAACAATATCCATAGTACGGCAAGAGGGCATCACGGGGATATATCGTGGACTATGGCCGACAGTGAGTTCAGCTAGTCCGTGCTGCGACACGAGGATAACGCTCTACACAGATGATGCGGCAAGGCGCTAATTCTGCTGTTCGCTTTACGACGTATTCGACACTGAAACAGTTTGTTCAAGGCACAGCTCGTCCCGGACAAACATTACCTAGTACCATTACCTTTGGCATCGGTGCTATTGCTGGGCTAGTAACGGTCTACACTACTATGCCTTTGGAGTACGTCCTTTCTACTGGCCTTTTGATCGAATACTCATTCTGGAATAGCGTCATCAAGACTCGTATGCAGTCATTGGAAGCACGTTCGCAGTATCGCAATTTTGCTCACTGCGCGTATCGGATATTTACAGAGGAGGGGATCCTGAGGTTCTGGACCGGGACTACCCCAAGGCTCGCTCGGCTGGTGGTAAGTGATTTAGTCTGCTCCATTTGAACATAACCAAGATACACACACAGATGAGTGGCGGTATCGTGTTTACTGTGTACGAGAATATAATCAAGGTTCTTGTCGGTAGAAGCCCATGAAAACAGGTAGCACCTTCATATAATTTGAATCGCCTATTTGCTATATTCAGCGATCGTCATCACACCGTCACGGCAGATACCACTTGGGCAATGGGCACGCCGGACGCAAGTACTATCGATGTGGCACTACGACATCCTTCCATTTGCTAAACCACTCACACGCTTAAGCTGAGCTTATGCACTTGGAACACGCTCGCAGTAGAGCTTTAAAAACCTGTAAACAGTATGACAGTATTAGCAGCGCCTCCGACAGACTTACACCTCCCGAACCATAGGCACCACATAAAGTATTTGAAGCACATTATAAAACAAACATAAGGGCAGGGCGAAGGTAACAGTCGATCTTTTGGCAATCGGTCCTTGGAGGAATTGTACATCGCTAACTTGGTCAAACAGTCGAACGAGATTCTGCCCGATAACTCCGCCTACACATCCCTCGCAACTGAGCCAAACTCGCAGTCCCCGTGCAGCTCTATAGCGCATGCTCCGGCGACTCTACGATCTCTCCGTGTTTTTACTTCCGTCCACCATGGCCACCACGAGTAGCCCATGCATTTCTCTTCTTAACTTGAGACTTGAGCGTCCCCCTCCAGGTAAAGCTTGTCTCACCCTCGTCACCATATATACCCGCGTACAAGAGACTTTATACCATAAGGTCAGTGTTTAGTGCGTCTCGTCTCAAAGTATTGAATGACGAGCGATATGTAGTACTTAACTTGGGTGCTGGTGACAGCTGCGATACAGCTACCATGGATGAGAGTCCACCGAAAATGAAAAAGGCTTTTAAGTTGAAGAAAGTCGTCGCGTCTATCCGAAACATCGAGCTAACCTTCTACCGCATCCATTTAGTGGCCTTCGTCTTCATTCCGCTCATATCCTCAGGAATCTTCTACGGCTGCAACGGCAGGCTCCGCATCAGCTACCTGGATTCGCTCTTTATGTGCTATTCCGCAATGACACTGACTGGGCTTACGACGGTGAACTTGTCGACGCTGACCGTATGGCAGCAAGTCATGCTTTTCTTGCTGATGATGGTGGTAAGTGAGTGCGGCAGGGTGTAGCAATGCCTTATTGATGTATGCAGGGCGATATCACGACCGTATCATGGATCATGGTGCTGGTGCGAAAGTGAGTGAGTTCTCTTGCTGTGTTATTTTCCTAATGCTATCCCAGGCACTATTTCCGAACGCACTGTAAAAATCTCCCCGATCGGATGAAGATTTTTCCTACACACATTGATTTCCTTGCGTCGATTTCTTCCCCCATCGCCGCCTTTAGGCCTCATGATGTCATCCCGGTGGCCGGCAAAACCGCCCCACAGCTCATTTTCCATCAGCCGACGCCGGTGGCGACAATGTCCCCAGTGCCCACCACTGACGAGACGGCAGCAACGTACGTGAACGGTAGCAGAATCGAGGAGGGCGATGGCGATAACGTGCTTTCCGATGTTCATACGTTTACCTCATCACCTCGCGCAGCCACCCTGCACCTTTCGCCAGTCCAGAGCCGCGCCTCGGCCCACCGTGGCGTAGACTTCGATCTCGCGACATCAATGACTTTGTCTATGCGCCAGAGAAGGATGAGTGCCCTCCGTGCTGCCGTCCCACTTCCGACCACAGTGTTAAGCAACCGGGACACATCTGGAAACACAAAAGAAACGTGGACGAACGTATCTGGACCGATACAGGACGTCAAGAACCTGTTCAAACGCTGGGCTCCAGGTGTATATAGGAAGTTTCAACGCAATATGACCACGCCATACAAGTCTACTTTGGAAGCTGACAGGACCAAGTGGCTTAATTTCGACCTAGACACGGGCCGGAATTCCAACTTTTACACAGAAACGTTGACGGACGAGCAGTTGGATATGATTGGGGGCGCCGAATATCGGGCGCTAAAGGTTCTCAGTTATCTTGTGCCTACTGTGCGTGCGTTGGCTCACATCAGCGCCGGCCTTCTAACCTCCATCTAGTATTTCTTAGTATCTCAAATTATCACCTACCTCATAATCGCACCCTGGTTATCGACTTCGTCGACTTATGACAATGTATTTGAGGCACAGCCCCGTCTCGTCAAAAAGCCATGGTATAGAACTGTGCATCAATTACACTCGGTACTGATGTAAATATTCCTAGGTTCTCGCTCTTCCAAGTTATGGCGGCCTACACCGGTGGTGGTCTATCCTTGGTAGATCTGTAAGTCGAGCTACATACGCGTGTCGGGTGCTGACCGGCCATTTTCAGAGGGATGGTCCCCTTCCAGACCGCGTATCTCATTATTTGTGGGCTTTTCCTTTCTGTGCAGTTGGTTGTTCTTATAAAGAACGTAAATTTACAGTTCCCATGATGTTTCTCATCTTAATAGGCAATCACGCCCTGGTATGTTCGCATACCTTTGTCAATAATTATGCGCTAACTTCCTAGCATTGTCTTCAGCCGATCTTGTGAGTTCAAAGTAATGATTTGTTGGCGATCCCTCACGTGCGCCCTACAAGTTTGCGACTTATAATGTGCTTTTATTCATGCCTTTTGTTTTGTTTGCGGACACTAAAGTAGTAATCCAGATGGATATTCTCCAAATTTACCGAACCGGGATCAGATCTGGATAAAGCATTGGACTTCCTTCTTCATCACCCTCGACGGTAAGCCGGTCTTTAGCGGTATAATTATACATAACTGACTTTGATGACAGGTGCTATTTCTACCTGTATGAGCACGCTCCTTGCTGCTTGAACGGGTCCAGTCCTCCTGATATCTCCACTTAGGTTTCCCAGCCACCAGACCTGGTTTTTAGTTATCGTTCTGATCCTCATGAGGTTATTCGCTTCCCATCTCCTGGTGCGACATTCTTATACTGACACTCTTCTCGTGATAGCGTAGTGGAATGGGTCGCGTTTGAAGTGTTGAGTACGATCGGTCTGCCTCACAATTTCCGTTCGCTTGATCTGATGACCATCTAGATACCGGGTTGGAGTTTTATGACGCTATGTCGACCGGGGCTAAAATCGTGACGGGCTTGTTCCAGGGACTGGCAGCTCGTGCATCCGGATTTACAATCGTCCCTTTGGCTTCAATTGCCCCTGCACTCCAGTGCGTTACTGACTGAGTACCCGATCATGTTCTATAATGAACATCCTATAGGTTCTTATATGTGGTGATGATGTACATTGCTGTACGTTTTTCTGTCTTGTCCTTCCCAGCTTATCTGACCGTGTTGTAGGTGTATCCTGTAGGTTCTTCTGTGCGGTTTTGATATTGTATATTCTGAGATCCCCTCACTAGGTCGCAATGAGTATTCGCTCGACCAATACGTAGGTGTTAGTGCAGCTCTAGGAGTTTACTTCTAATTTCACGACATCAGGTATGAAGAAGGATCGCTTGGCGTATTCGAAGAACCGTTACTGGATGAGGAAGAATTTGAAGACAAAGACAAGGAACTTGGAGATCCTAAGGACAAGGAGCCCCGACAGCGTGTGGCAAGGTATCTAGGCTGGCACTTGAGCAGGCAGATGTCTGATGGTATGTCTGTCATCTACTCCCGGATCTGATCCTGAAGAGGGATATCTCATTTGGTATGCCAAGATATCTGGTGGATGGTCGGGGGCATCTTCCTTGTTGCCATTATAGAACGAGACAGCATCCTAGACGATAATGAGAAGTGGTTCAATATGTTCCGAGTGCTTTTCGAGCTGGTCTCTGCATTCAGTGGGATCGGGATGAGCCTTGGGTTCCCTTCGGTATATTTTGTCTTCAGTCTCGGCTGTGATGCGATGTTGATATTGGATACAGGATAATATGTCATTTGTAGGTGTGATGAGACCGCTATCAAAGCTGGTCATCACTGTGGTGATGTGCGTATCTCCAATGCGCGTTTTGAACGCGCCACTAATATCTTGTTCTATTAGGGTACGCGGACGACATCGCGGTCTTCCTGTGGCCATTGATCGGGCGGTGAAACTTCCTCATGAGCTCGTGACGAAAGGTAGGAATGCGGGGAAGGGGAAGGATAATGATTTGGAACCGGTGGAAGAGATAACAGGTACCCCTCGTGATGTGTCGTAGCTTTTTGGATACCCGATTTCTTTGCTTTGCTCTGGAGTTTCATATCTTCATAGGTGTATATATATAGACACACGAACACTATTACTTAGAGACTCGGATCCACATTGTCCCCGTATTTACGGGATTACGGATGGTTTATACAGGTACTATAACCATGCCATAAGTATAGGGTGGCAGGCCCTTGTCTTTCGATAAATCACTCAGATATATTCCAGTATCTGAGTGTTTCTCAGTAACTCAGTACTGTAACATATCCCAGAAGATACAGAGTCTGTGTGCAATGCAATGAGCATTGCATTTCCCCCCACGAAGCCAGACAGTGTACCTTATCCTGCCTTGAACCAGGCCCTAGGGGTCTACATCGATGCTTGACTAAGCTGGAAAGAATAAGGAGCAGTAGCTATAAAGAAAGGTGACCAAAAGGTGACGACTGGATAGTGCGGTTCCGAAGACTGGCTCAGGGAGCTCAGGAATGTCTCGGAAAGAGGCGAACGAAAAGGAAACGGAAGGACAGCAAAGTAGTATCCACGCGGTGAAATGCCTCTCCTCGATAGAGAGGAAAGCGGCAATACTTATAACCGGGATGTTGCGTATCACAGCAGCGGATGTCTGGGATATTCATGCCAATCTACTCCCTATGAAGGAACAAGTAGAGGTATATCAACACCGTGCCCCCAGGATATCTGATGTACAAGCGGATAGGACGAGTAACAAACCAATATGTGAAACGCCACAAATCCGCGCTACCTGGTTTACGAGACTACCGCGCTACATGAGTTAGCACGAGATTTTGGAGTCCAGCAAGATGAAATGGAAACCATCAAGGCAGTGCGATTCCCACAACACTGGAAATCAAAAATGAAGATAGAGACGGTGGAGCCAATGCAAGAGACTACTGCAAGGGATAGAATTGATAACAGCGAGGTCAAGGCATACGGACATGGATCAGGAATTGATAGAGGTATAGGAGCAGCTGCGGTGGTATATTGAGGAGGAAGGAAAGTGAAGACGTTGCGCATGAGAGGATCGGCAAAGAAACACGAGGTATACGACGGCGAAGGAATATCTCTAACGCTCTGCACAGAACCACTGCGAAATATGACCAACATCTAGAGTGCTACCCTCAGCGTTGACAACATAGTCGCTATACAAGCAACTACATTGGCAAAACCTGCCCCATCACACCACATATTCAATCTTTTCCACAAACATATTGACATGGTCCACCGACGACATCCAAAATATTTCCATCAGTCTGCTGGGTCCCTGGACATCAAGGTATTGCAGGCAACGAAGTGCCAGATGACGAAGCGAAGGCAGCAGCCCGAGGTGATGTCAGTGAGCTGCAGGATTTCCCAGCGCCGCTGCGGAAACCCGTCCCCCACAATAAAACATCATTACTCCAGGAGTACTATGCGAAGCAGAAACGAAATGCCGACTGGACCTGGAGAAAGTCAGCCCGCTTCTCCAGGTTCCGTACCATCGACTCAACAACTGCTTAGCAAGTTGCATGCTGGTACAGCCTCTGGCCACTTCCTTACCGCGCAAGATCATTAGCACACAAGTGCCGTACTGGACATATGGGGCTAAACCGCCATCTCTCCAGTCTGTCGCGTCGAATCACTTGCATATCCGAAACGCTCATACCCAATGAATCTGTGCATCGTTACCTCATGAGATGTCCTGCATACTTCATCGAACAGAACACCCTACAGCAATCTCTCGGCATTAGAGGAACTGCAATGATAATCAAGCACGTACTGTCAAGCTGGAAGAACTCATCCCAATACCTTATTTATCGACACTTGTCGCTTTGAAAGCACGTTCGGTACCCTCTCAGAAGTTGAGATTGAAGGTGAAGTGGATGGATATAAACCTAACCAAGGTGAAAACAAACGTGGTGCAGCAGTAAAAGTGATAAGGGTTAGTCTTCCACCTCAGAACCGTACCATTCTGATAGCAGGGGAGGTGGGGCAGAATATCTCGCATGGAGTACAAAGATACTCGCCAGTTAAGATACGTAGGAGTATAGTTTTACCCCAGAGTAGCAGAGCAGTAGCATGAGTCGACCATACGCTAGCGTGTAGAGTAGTACATACATACGCATTGGAAACCAAAAAAGGCCAGGCCAAGCCGGGCCCCGTACATGGCTACCTGAGGATGAGGCTGAGAATCAGAATGGGCCTCGGTACGTTTCAAGACTGAGAATTGTTTCTCTTGACCAGTGAAGAACAACTTATTATCCTATCCTGCTCGATATCGAGCAGAGTCTCTCGGGCCAGTTTTGTAGTGGCAAAGTAGTGGTTCTTGATGTTGAAATTGTCTATTTGAGATGTTCGGCGGCCATATTTGTCTTTTGCCTCCGCCCACCACCACGAGCAGCTCATGCATTATTTCTCTTTCTGACCGGTAGAGCCCGCCTAGAGGCGAAGTTTATTCTGTCCTCGTCACCGCATATACCCGCGTACGAGAGAATTGATATCATAAGGTTAGTGTTTAATCTGTCTCGTCTCGGAAGGTTGCGTTGATGAGCGATATGTAGTACTTAACCTGGCTGCTGGCGGCAGCTGGCAGCTACCATGGATGAGAGTCCACCAAAAATGAAAAAGGCTTTCAAGTTGAAAAACCCTGTCGCGTCGATCCGAAGCATCGAGCTAACCTTCTACCGCGTCCATTTAGTGGCCTTCGTCTTCATTCCGCTCATATCCTCAGGAATCTTCTACGGCTGCAACGGCAGGTTCCGTATCAGCTTCCTGGATTCGCTCTTTCTATGCTATTCCTCAATGACAGTGACGGGGCTCTCGACGGTGGACTTGTCGACGCTGACCGTATGGCAGCAGGTCATGCTTTTCTTGCTGATGATGGTGGTGAGTGAGTGCGTCGAGGGGTAGCAATGTCTTGTTGATGTATACAGGGCGATATCACGACCGTTTCATGGATCATGGTGCTGGTGCGAAAGTGAGTGAGCTCTGTAGCTGTGTTATTTTCCTAATGGCATTGCAGACATTACTTCCGAACACACTGTGAAAATCTCCCCGATCGGATGACGATTTTTCCTACACGCACTGCTTTCCTTGCATCGATTTCTTCCCCCATCGCCGCCTTCAGGCCTCGCGATGTCATTCCGGCGAATGGCAGATACGCCCCACAGCTCAATTTCCATCAGCCGACGCCGGTGGCGACAATGTCCCCAGTGCCCACCACTGACGAGACGGCAGCAATGTACGTGAAAGGTCGAAGAAGCGAGGAAGGCGATGGCGATAACGTGCTTTCCGATGTTCACACGTTTACCTCATCACCCCGCCCAGCCACCCTGCACCTTTCGCCCGTCCAGAGTCGCGCCTCGGCCCGCCGTGGCGTAGATTTCGACCTCACAACTTCTATGACGACGTCTATGCGTCAGAGAAGGATGAGTGCTGCCCGCGCTGGTGTCCCGTTTCCGGCGAGGACCATGACAGTGTTCACCAACCAGGATACATCTGGAAACACGGATGTGCCCGGACCGACACAGTTCGTCAAGAACCTGTTCAAACGCTCGGCTCCAGGCGCATATAGGAAGTTCCAACGCAAGATGACTATACCGTACACATCTACTTTAGAGGCTAGCAGGACCAAGTGGCTTAATTTCGACCTAGACACGGGCCGGAATTCCAACTTTTACACAGAAACGTTGACGGACGAGCAGTTGGAAATGATTGGGGGCGCCGAATATCGGGCGCTAAAGGTTCTCAGTTATCTTGTGCCTACTGTGCGTGCATCGGCTCGCATCAGCGTGGGCTTTCTGACCTCCATCTAGTACTTCGTGCTATCTCAAATTATCACCTACCTAATATTCGCACCCTGGTTATCGACATCTTCGACTTACGACAGTGTGTTTGAGGCGCAGCCCCGTCTCGTCAAAAAGCCATGGTATAGAACTGTGCATCAATTACACTCGGTACTGATGTAAACATTTCTAGGTTCTCGCTCTTCCAAGTTATGGCGGCCTACACCGGCGGCGGCTTATCCTTGGTTGATCTGTAAGTCGAGCTGCAGGCGTGCGTCGGGTGCTGACCGGCCATTTTCAGAGGGATGGTCCCCTTCCAGACTGCGTATCTCATGATTTGTGAGGTTTCCCTTTCTGTGCAATTGGTTGCTCATATGAGAAATGTAAATGTATAGTTCCCTTGATGTTTGTCATCTTAGCAGGCAATCACGCCCTGGTGTGTTCACATACCTTTGTCAATAACTATACACTGACGCTCTAGCATTGTCTCCAGCCTATCTTGTGAGTTCTGGAGGTTAAAATTAATGTCATTTTGGCAAGCCCTTACGTGTACCATACAAGCATGCGACTTATAATGTGCGATTATTCTTGTCCTTTCTTTGTTCGCGGAAACCAAACAAGTGATATTCTAGATGGATATTCTCCAAATTTACCGAGCCGGAATCAGATCTGGATAAAGCATTGGACTTCCTTCTTCATCACCCTCGACGGTAAGCCGGTCTTTAGCAGTATAATTATACATAACTGACTTTGATGACAGGTGCTATTTCTACCTGTATGAAACACGCTCCTTGTGCTTGAACGGGTCCAGTCCTCCTGATATCTCCACTTAGGTTTCCCAGCCACCAAACCTGGTTTTTAGTTATCGTTCTGATCCTCATGAGGTTATTCGCTTCCCATCTCCTGGTGCGACATTCTTATACTGACACTCTTCTCGTGATAGCGTAGTGGAATGGGTCGCGTTTGAAGTGTTGAGTACGATCGGTCTGCCTCACAATTTCCGTTCACTTGATCTAATGACCGTTTAGATACCGGATTGGAGTTTTATGACGCTATGTCGACCGGGGCTAAAATCGTGACGGGCTTGTTCCAGGGACTGGCAGCTCGTGCATCCGGATTTGCGATCGTCCCTTTGGCTTCAATTGCCCCTGCACTCCAGTGCGTTACTGACTGAGTACCCGATCATGTTCTATAATGAATATCCTATAGATTCTTATATGTGGTGATGATGTACATTGCTGTATGCTTTTCTGTCTTATCCTTCCCAGCTTATCTGACCGTGTTGTAGGTGTATCCTGTAGGTTCTTCTGTGCGGTTTTGATATTGTATATTCTGAGATCCCCTCACTAGGTCGCAATGAGTATTCGCTCGACCAATACGTAGGTGTTAGTGCAGCTCTAGGAGTTTACTTCTAATTTCACGACATCAGGTATGAAGAAGGATCGCTTGGCGTATTCGAAGAACCGTTACTGGATGAGGAAGAATTTGAAGACAAAGACAAGGAACTTGGAGATCCTAAGGACAAGGAGCCCCGACAGCGTGTCGCGAGGTATCTAGGCTGGCACTTGCGCAGACAGATGTCTGATGGTAAGCCTACTCCCGGATCTAATCCTGCAGAGGAACGTCTCATTTGATATGCCAAGATATTTGGTGGATGGTCTGGGGTGTCTTCCTTGTTGCCATTATAGAACGAGACAACCTCCTGGATGATAGCAAGAAGTGGTTCGATCTGTTCCGAGTGCTTTTCGAGCTAGTCTCTGCATTCGGAGGGATCGGGTTGAGTCTTGGATTCCCTTCGGTATATTTTGTCTTCAGTCTCGACTGATGCGATGTTGATGTTGGATACAGGATAATATGTCATTTGTAGGTGTGATGAGACCGCTATCAAAGTTGGTCATCATTGTGGTGATGTGCGTATCTCCAATGCGCGTTTTGAAAGACATCACTGATATCTTGTCCTATTAGGGTACGCGGACGACATCGCGGTCTTCCTGTGGCCATTGATCGGGCAGTGAAGCTTCCTCGCGAGCTCGCGACAAAAGGTAGGAATATAGGGAAGGAGAAGGACAATGGTTTGGGACCGGCGGAAGAGATTACCGTTATCCCTCGTGATGCGTCGTAGCTTTTTGGATACCCGATTTCTTTGCTTTGCTCTGGAGTTTTGAGTCTCATATCTTCATAGACGTATATATACAGACACATGAACACTAAGTACTACCTAATTGTTGGTATATTGATGACCATAGGTTGCGGCACCTTTATTCAATCACTATGCTATCTTACTGCATGTTTTACGTGCTTGAGGGGATGTGGATAGCAGCATCTAGTTAGTCAAATTAATTTATCGGACTAGCAGCTGATTTCAGCGTACTCGTCTCTTGCGTGGTCTTCTGCTCATCAATTTTTCTTCTCTTTAGTCATCAGTCGGGTCCTGGGCCGCCTCTTGGATGGTGCTTAATCAATGCTAGCCTCATTTATGCGGACCCTCCTTTGTGCGTCTATGATCGTTCTCGACAACGGCTGTTGAATCTAATGTACCGCGCGATGCGTCTGATGTGGGCTCCTCTCCCGGCTTCGCATCATAAGGGTTACCCGGACGCGATGTTACATCTTTAACAGAGTACGGCTATTTCTCCCCGTCTCTCGACGCTGTTTCCTCAGGCCATACTTCGGCAGGGATTTAAACGGTTTGTTGTTCCATCTTGGGGGTCGTGAACATGTGAGATCAACTGGATGCCCAGCTGGTTTGTTGGGCGTAGATAGTATGAAGGCGATAAAACTTGACACTGGGACGCATTATGCGGTAGGTCCACTGAAAGCGAGCGAGGAGGAGCAGGGTTCAAAAGGGCGATCCTGTACAGAGAGTGCTATGGCTCCAGCTAATCGATAATCCGACTTAGCCACTGACTATACATCGAAGTTGACAAGCATCATCAGACCCGGAAAAAAGGCATGGTAACGTTCTTAAACTCCCTCGTTAGCGTGATTGGCACTTTGGTCGCCACAGGGTGGATAGATATATCGGGATGAATGCCAACGTTGTGGAGACTACGACAAGCCTGCCTTCGAAGAACGCCAAAATTCTTTTCCCAGCTAGCTTAGCGCTCATACCGTAATTCTGATTTAGCAATGCGGCTTTCAAGAAAGCGGTTGGGTTGTGATTCTGTCAATACCTGCCGTCGGACCTTTCAAGACTGTTTTTCTGATTCCAATGACTCCGCAAAACGAGGTAATAGGTCCTCGGTCTTCGGCATATACGTATGTAACCCTTACACGGAAGAAGCTTCGCAAGGTTGAACCATATTACCTATTTATGTTAATGATGGCATAGCATCGATAGCATCTGCAAGTAAGACATCATGGAAAACATATAGAAACTTCATATACAGGAGTACCACACCGTAGATGAACCAAGATTTGGAATTCGGGAGAAGATCACAAGGCAGAGTCGTAGGCCGTGGACGCGCCAAAATGTTCTTGAGATGTTTACACAAGTCCCCCAAGGTAGTCAGGGAGTAACACTAAGCGGCAGTGACTTGGGGGTAACCGGCCAGGCACTATAATGGCGTTGTTGCAAATTTTTTTTTAAAAAAAGAGTCATACTTGCAAATCCATTGATAGGGTAGTGAACTTCCACAAAGAGACAAGCGAGTTTTGTGCAACAATAACTGATCTAGAATCTCTGAATACTCAGAATGCAGCCTGGTGGGACTCACTAAGTCACTGGTTTCCTTTGGGTTTCCTGCCACTGGCAGCTGGTACCTATCGGTGCGACAGGTCGCGTCGCGTGCTTGAAAATCTCAGTTACACGTGCCTCCTGAACCTTAATTTAGTTTTTCCGGTGCCTTCCGGTGCGCAGTCTCGCACCTTGGCGGCACACGGAGGCAAAATACCTGACGACAACGTTTGTCCTGTGGCAAGTTCCACCGACATTTTGCCCCATTTTCATCGCATAAATGTCAAGAATGAGATAGTTGGCATCGTATTGACGTGCCAGAATATTTTCAGTGCAGGATTTCAGTGCGTCACCGTATTTTGAATCAGGCTGATCGTCGATCACCTTGGTTGACATTTGGCCTATCCTATAATCAGTTATTATAGGTATTGGCTTCAAAAATTTCGCCGTGAGAAGCTTGACCCAGCGCTCCTATGCCATTACATTAAAAAGGAACGAGGGTTGCCCAGATACCAGTCCACTCTTCGTTCTCTTCTTTCTGACGGCTTTCAGTATCAGTGTCGCAATTCAATGACGGAGGAGGAACATAAAGAAGCTGTCTTCTATCTTGGGCCCTGGGTATGCGCTCGTTCGCAGCTGCGCATTTGCAGCTTCCGTTTCTGACCGGCCGCCTGTGCATCATGTAGCTCGTGGGCCTCTGCCTCGATCTCTTCCTTCAGGGAATTTTATCATCACAGGTGAGCCGTGAGTTCGCACTTACCCACGCTACGATTAAAGACTATTGTGTAGTTCAGCAACTATTATTCATGGTACGGGAAGACGGATGGCATCAAGCTTAAACTTGCCGTTGGAATACTCGCCGTCGTCACGTCTCTGAAATCCATCCAGGTCTGTGATGCATAACCCATATTTTCATCGTCCTTCCACTAACTTCATGATGATAGTGCTTGTTTGTCGATACCTTCATTTAAAATAGAAATGGACAAGCTCATCGCATCTACAGCGCCATCGTATGGATCCAGCTGATCGACAATTTCCTTGATCTGCAGACCGCAGTCAATTTGAGGTACGACGCAAATCATTTCTACTATATTGTGTCCCCTGACGCGTCGTGTTCAAGGTTCGTTAAGTGGTACCAAATCGGTGTGTAATTGCCGTAGTTCCTGCTGACTCGACTTATGCAACACTCAGGCAATCCTTTAATGGTCGCGTTCATTGGTTTCTACGTACAAATGTACTTCTGCTACCGGCTGTGGGTGGTGTCGAAGTATTGGTGGGTTCCCCTTCCTATCATCTTCCTTTTCCTGTTCGCTCTCATTGCCGCTATGGTAGTGGTAAGTTGACTATTCTATTCTACAGCTCTCTTTAATTTAATGGATTCACATATTTATTCTTAGACGCACTATGTCGCAATATTCGATCCCAGGTTGGCCAATTGGCGTATGGTCTTTCTCATCACTGCATGTGGAGCCGAGTTGATGTAAGAGTTCACAGTGTCCGCCCATTACGCTACCGTCTTTGGTACTCATCATTTGATTTCTGCATTTTTTTCGTTGACTCACCGTATTTCATCAGTTGCCGACTTGTTATTATGTACAGCGACTGCCTATTTCCTCTTGAAGACGAAAAAGAACGTTCTACCACAGTGTGTATCCTTTTTTGAGCGGCACATTAAGTTTGCTCACCTCTGCTCTATAGGACAGTGGGACTCATTAATGCCCTCGTCCGTCTGACTTTCCAGACCGCGGCACCGGCTGTTATTTGGTATGCCGCTATTCCCGCTTACGAAACTTCTATTGATGAAACCAAACCGTCTTCCAGTGCCCTCCTCAACTTGATATTTATATACCTTCAAAGTGATGAGACCAAGAGCATTTCAAACGCCTTCATTCAGGCCCTCCCCAAACTTTACGCCGTCAGCATGATGTGGACGTTGAATTCGAGGAGGAGCATCCGCGTTTCTCACGGAAGCGGAAAGAGCGGGAGTACTAGTAACGAGCCTTCTGGACCAAGGACCGATTATTCACGCTCTCGGAGGACCAGAGGGCCAGATGATATTGCCATGGGTAATATTCAGGTGGTTACTCACACTGAAACTGTCCGCGTACGTTTTCCTATCTTCGGCATTACTGTCAGACTCATGGCGGCGTTCAGGTTACCGATATGTTTGGCGAGGAAAATCAAGTGATTAATGGGAAGCTAGGCAACGTCATTGATGATGAAGAGTCGTTGAAGTCGTCTGTTCGCAAAAATTGAATCACTCCCGCCCTTTCTCCTCAAGAATATTGGCACTCTAGATCTCCAACGTTCGATATTTTTTGTATACCGATAATCCGTGACATGATATATCCAATATATTTATTTAGATAATTAACCTCGCCTGAGAGGGAATAAACATTATTCTGTCAAACGTCCAACTCAAATAAATTGACGCGTATTTCATCTCGCGCACAATCCATTGCGGGCTAGATTATAAAGAGCCTCAAATGGAGCGAGGGTCGAAACCAGAGACAGCTTGATGACAACCAGAGTGTTGCAGCACGTCGAATTACCAGAGGCCCGCCAACTGCCTCAGGAAATCGTTCAAGCATGACGGGTAGTTCAGCTTTAAGACGCCTCTACCGACATCCCCTCCGATCGACAAGATGGTACGTCGAGGTTCAGCAATGCGGCCTCCTGTAGTGAATCAACCGTAACAAGCACCCACGATACATCAGGAAAAGGCAAGTCGGGTCAATTATTAAATTAAAGCACTAATGATTTTTACCATCACAGGATAGTAGATGGAAGACTAGACGCTCCCCACACGCATGGAACGAATACGGTCTCGAAGTCCTTCGACGCTGCAGTTACATTGCAGACAAAAAGTAACAGACACAGCCCGAAAATCAACCACCATCTACCGAGAAAAACGGCGTACCACCATCCGTCTTAAGGGAATCCAAATATCGCCGCATCATAAAATCAGAGGACATTTCCCCCTGTCGTACGCGCATCTGTTCATGGTTTCAGCAGCAGCCTCATCATGTTTCTCATCCAAAAGTGACGCGCCAATCAGTTCCCGACGCGGTGTAGTACGGGACCGACCGTGTACGGCTGCCCATTCCGATCCAACAACATTCACCATTTTCCTTCCATAATTGTTCTCCGTCGATCCAACATCCTCGGACTCGGCTTCGTGAATTGCATCGATACTCACATCGTCGCCCTTGGGGCGTGGCGGTGATTATCAGAATTGCCACATTCAGCTCTCCAGAGAGGTTTCTCGAGATCGCATGGCACAGTATTATCAAAGTGCTAGTCCTTTGCATAAGCGACGAATTCAGTGATGTTGTAGTAGGTATCCAGAAATAGGGCCTGGAACAATTCGGCGGGATTGATGATGTTGCACCTATTCTTGATTATCCTGCAGGCCAGTTACAATAGGTTATTTTGAAATGAAGACCACTGAGGCCTAACCAGAACGCCAAGATAAAATGTTAGGTGATAAATATCGTCGTGCAGATAGAAACCTGTAATTCTTGTAATGTGCTCCTGTGCGAAGGCAAGTAATTTCTGGTGTCGAAGAGGGGTAGCAAAGTCTATGGGAATTCGACGGTGAGCAACATGCTCATCATTCATCTTGAACTCAACTGCCAGCATACAGAGGAAAATATCGAAAATCTCCGCTGCGTGATCGCTGACCTTTCCCAGGATATTGTGATCCGTTGCGAACTGTTTTATATCTCTCCTAGTTGGTATGGGCAATTTGTAGGAGGCCTGACCATCACACATCATGTTGGGGGAGATACCGGTTGGCACACATCATCAAGAAAATAATAAGCGGACAATAATTATTGATCATCATAAAAATCACCTGATTGCATACGAGCTTTGCGTCTTGGCCACCACGGTCACGATCTGCGTCAACAGACGATCTACGACACAACGGGACGTAGCCTCATTTGGAGGGGAGTCCTTGCTAATGACGAAACGAAGACCCTCCTGCAGTTCTGAAAGTCCTCTCCACGCATCTCGGAGGTTATCCTCGTCGGCGTCGAATGTAAATTGTCCTCGAAATGAATGCAAGAGATGTTCAGCAAACTCTCTTATCTCGGGAGTTTCATTCTTGTTATATTTGGCTAGTGGTAAGAGATCATCTAGTGGATAAAACATTCAGGCATGCTAGATAGGAGTATAGATGGAAAACGGACACACCCGTAGAGCTTTCGGGAGTTGGGGACACAGGAGTTTCCCTCTTTGCTCCACAACCGCAGGAGGCCTAACGTCTATGGGTTCCGTTTCTACCTTGGTGACCTTGGCCGATCTCAAAAATGTTCGTTCGGTACTCGCTAGTGGTACAAGAAATACTTGCTTCTGTCAGAGAAAGAGCTGCATGAAGAATGATGATAACACAACGTGATTGGTACTTTTGTTTGCAGAGGAGCCGAAACTTGGCTTCAACTATACGACGTATGCCTGGTACGTAGTGGTAGTCGGACCGGAAGCCGCCGAGAAAGGGGCGTGAGCGGATCAAGGCGGATAAGAATGTCGGCCCATACGTAATCATAGAGTCATGGTTGCTCGTTGTCTCCCCTTTGGGGATCTGGGAGAGCATTGAAGGAGTGATTGTTCAAGGAAAGGCCGTGTCGCAGAACCCTAGAACGTTCAAGGCTTGTCTTAGGTGGAGATGCATACTACAAGGCCGCGTCACATTCCGAGCATTAATTCTTCGCGCCGAATTTGGCGAATGCCCTGGTAGCGATAACGGAGATTTTATATATTCGGCCAGAATCGACTGGTACCGTCCTCTCTGGCATCCGAAGTTTTGGCGCCTCGTACTCGAAATACTTTGACCTTGTGGTGACTTCTAGGAACCCGAAACGAGCACCTGGTGTCTTCTTGAAATTCTACAGGCACGTCTATTTCCTTGGTAACATTATTCATGTTTAATAGCAAGTAACATTCAAGATCTGACAGTGGACGGCCACTAGCTCGGTACTACGTTGACGCCTCAATGCAGTTGAGTAGGCGGAATACCCGGCCTTCTCCGTGAGTGAATTCAGTTTGCATAATAGCCTCCTGGACGTCGATCCACGACTACGGTGTCATGGACCGATTTGAATAGGAGCTCAGCTCTTAGACCTCTCCTATGCTTGGGTCTATATATTAACTATGTCGGTCAGGTAACCGCTATCCTTCCAATGTCCCCCTTGTCTGGTGAAGAGTACGAGCAGGTCGCCTATGGCTTGGGTCCATGGGTGAGTGATCATCGCCTGTTGCGCGCTTGCTTTCCTAAGATCTTTAATCTTGATATGTCGCGGATCTAGTTGGTAGGGATGGCCCTCGATTGGTTTTTCCTGGGCATCTTGACGACTCAGGTAAGCGTTTTTGCGAAATACCCGGTACAAAGTATATATTTCAGACGTATCCAGTTCTCCAACTATTATTCGTGGTATGGCAGAAAGGATGGCGTTGGTATGAAGATCGCGGTGGGCGTATTGGCGCTTTTGACGACTCTAAAGTCTATACAGGCGCGCCACTTGAAATATATCCAGCAACTTTCGCTGACTGGTCTTTAGGCCTTGTAAGCAAATTACCTGCGAGAGATATCTCAGGTCTCAATACCGATTTTAGCTCCATTGTATGGATCCAGCAGATAAACTATTTCACCGACATTCAAGGTGCCCTTGCGCTGCAGTATGGCTTTTAGTCTCTTCATGCAAATCAGTCAACTTACGCCGTTCTAGCGAAACAGCGTGGTATCACACAGGCATGTAAATCTTAAGGTCTATTGCGCTGCCTTTGATTGAACAAGGTTTGAACAGGAAACATTATTATGGTGAGATCATCACCAAAAATTCATGAAATTTGCAAACAACCAGAGACGAAATAGGAGGCTTCGATTTCCTTCTACGTTCAATGTTACTTTTCCTATCGCTTATACGCTCTGTCGAAAATGTGGTGGATTGCCGCACCCATCATGGTGCTATATGTCTTGGGCCTGGCTTCTGCCATAGTCGTGGTATGTGGATCCTCCACCACGACACCCGAAACTTCGTGTTGTTGATACGTTACTTAATAGACCTACTACATAGCTTCCTTCATAATTGACAAACAGACCGAACACTGGAGTAAGCCTTATAATTCCTCCATTCCGTTTAATCCTAACACCGTCCTAGTTTCCGTGCATTATGCAAGTGCTTTCGGTATGGCTCATATCCGCGGCTTAGAGCACTTCACCCACTCTGATTTCCTTTAGTGACTGATCTTCTACTGTCATCGGCAACGGCATGGTTTCTTCTCACGAACAGAAAACACGTCTTGCCGCAGTACGCTCTCAAGTTCTCATGCTTATCATCATATACTTGCTGACAGCCACGCAGAACCGCCAGTCTCCTCAACGCCCTAGCTCGCCTCACCTTCCAAACAGCAGCGCTTCCGGCGATTTGGTACGTGCCATTGTCCCGAATCCCGGCTTATCCTCATTTCTTGAATAGCGCAATGATCAATTTTATCTTTGTCTACACAATAGGCAGGACATTCAATAATGTCGTCAGTGTTTTCATCCAGGCGCTTCCGAAACTGTATGCGATTAGTATGATGTGGACGCTCAATGCAAGACGGGCCATTCGGGTCGCGTTCGCAAGTGGAGGGAGCGGAGGGTCCAGCACCGGGGAGGCTGTGCCTAGAAGCATCGAGAGGACGAGAAGGGTATGCCATTTGATGTTTGAACCTGCGATGAGCTTCCAACCCGTCTTTTCCCAGGATGAAATACCCTTGAGTAATCTGAACGTACGTGTGAAACCAGATGGCGACTCGGTACGTTCTCGTTCTGCGTTGGTACCACCCCCTCCCCCAGGCTGACCTTATTTAGGTGCGTGACATGTTCGCACAGCCAGATAGCGACCTCGAGATGGAATAGGAAACTGCAGGAACTTCTGTTGATCTCGAGGCAGATGGGAAACCTCGATTCTATTACTGCAATATGGATCATGATACGACGATTGCGGTCGCATAGCTACCGTACCCAGCGCCGCTCGGTGCGAAAAGTGGGGCCCAGAAGCGCTTCATTGTGCCGAGTTTTAGGCTCCATGCTGGAGTGGCGTAGTAATGACCGGCTGTAGGATTCCAATGATAAACTGCGTGTGTACTAGGGTAGCATGATAATAAGTAATGTAAATGAGGGTGAATGTCGAAGATAAGTACAAGGAGATGCATGAAAGAGGTAGAAGTAAATTCCGTGGTACCCCGCCAATGTTATAATGCTGAGACATAGTGGCTTGATTAACTCCAACCCGATGGTAGTCCAACTCTATTCTTGCTGCTCGCAATGGATCTCGTTGATCCCTCCGCCGTTAGGAATCCAGAGTACAAACTGGGGTTCTCATCTTCCTCCAGCGATCCACGCCGCATCGGTTCGCGTCGAGTAACCCATCCCCAGCGGCTCTGACTCTCGCTCTCGTCCCAGTTTCCATAGTTACTGCTCACGGAGCCATAGATACGTCCACTCAAGGCCCGCCGACTTGGCTCGGGATTATCGGCCAAGTGCTTTCTTAGGCTCCGTATCGATTGTTGTCGTTTGGGCGGAACCAATATCCGTGCCAGATTAAGCTCTCCATCTTCTTCATCACTGCTCTCATCATGGTCGGTTTCGGGATCTATCCCCCAGCTTCTGAGGTATCGGTGCCCGTTGACGGCCAATTTCGGAGGAGCAGTGGCAATGGCCCATTCGGTAGGCTCGCCCTCTACCCTTGTCCTGGCGAGGGTCGGCAAGTTTGCGTTGCCTTTTTTCTTTCTGCCTCGCTCCCTGGGGTTTGGTATCTTCTCCTCTCGCTCGCCATCCCTTGTCCTAGAAGTAGCCCGACTTGATGGAGCACTATGACAGGAGACTCTAGTCCGACTGACCTCACCTACGCTACGCCGCGATCGTCGCTTCGACATCTGTGTCATAAATATGGGCGGCGGCAGTCTTCCTCGTGAAGGTGAGGGTGGGGGCTCCTCTTTTGGCCCACCAATGTATCCTATGCCGCCGTACATTACTGCACGAGCAACAGTTTCCAGCCATGTATGAGGAAGGGGTGGTGCGGCTTCTTCTTTAACTTCTTTAAGATTCGCAGGTGGAGTAGACCTGGGGCGCTGTGGCAGATTCGCAACCGAAGCCATATGCCGGAGATAAGCGCCTGCACGAGAAGGCTGAGGTTGCATAATGGGCTCCGATGGCTTGTGGGAAAGACGATTTGAAGGAGCGTATTGTGTTGATGACGGTAAATGTGAAGGAGCGTTAGGATTACGCCTTGACATGGCGGGTGAATTCGGCAGTCGTTGAGAATGTAATGAAGTGGAAGAAGGATTATTAGTAAACGCATAAAACCTTGAAGAGGGCTGTTGCATATATTCGGTGTTCCGTGAAATCTGTCGCGGACTTTGATAGCTGGCCTTGGGTGTTGGCCCGGCACATTCCATGGACGAAGTGCTCCCCGGTGTCGATGGCATGGTCGACGGTGACCTCTGTCGCTGTTTCTGCGCCAGACGGTGCTGAACTGGTGAAGAAGGCGGTGAATAAGTTCGACGCCTCTCAACGTTTGGCCGTGGTGGTACATCGGTCGTGTCCGGGCGGAGACTTGACGGTGGCACACTGGTGCCACCAGGCATCAGGCCGGCAAAAAATCCCACTACACCGCGTAGACTTCGTCGTTGAGGACTGCCCTCCCGACGCTTTCTCTCGGCATGCTCGATGCGCTCAGCTTCCGGCGTAAACACACGTGTTTCCTTGTATCCCGCCTCTCGCAGGAGATCTTCCAGCCGCTCGTATGTCTGGGATGTACCCCGCCGATGGAGAGGCACGCGACCTAGATCAGGATAACGCGAGCTTAAACGTCCTGTACGCTGGGGTGGCGTTTTTAGTTGGGGAGGTGAGCTGGAAGAGTGGGAGGCCAAATTCGACGACGAGAGTGCCAGTGAGATCGTCGAGTTCGATGACGAAGGCGTCTGATAGCTCGTCTGCAACACAAAGAACAAAGCCTTGGGGTGAGCAAGGCTACTTCCAAGGACAAGAAAGAACGAACCGTAACTGGCTGCACTCGCTGTCGATATTCCATGTTGCTTTGAGGTTTCTTCGACGTCGCCATGGCTCTAGTTCGATACTATACTGTACCAGTCGCTCGCTATGCGAAACGGCGTGGAGGCCGTGCGATGGCCTGTGCGTATCGTCGTTCTGTCGAGAGTGAAATTTGAGAGTCTGGGTCGCTAATGGGCGAACCGACTCCGGGCCCGAGTCGAGGACCAATTTACAATCAAATAATTGTCAAAAACGGTAAATAATGCATTTGCCATATTGAGCCAAGATTCACATCACATGACTACACGCGTTTACCCTAAATCCGAGGCCTTTCCGGACTGAACCAGCTACTTGGAATACCCTTCTGAAGACCCTTCATACAAAGTTTTGGTGTTCGTTCAGACTTACAACTGCTCTTCTTAATAAATGCAATCTTCTTTTCCCGTTATTACCGCGTTCATATGGGGACTGTTACATTCCTGTTGGACACCGCCGCCGTCAGGGAACGTCAGATGGCCTATAGGAATAATTAACGCGTCATTTTCGGAGTACTCACGGACCAATGCAACCTTGTAATGATTATCTACATTCATTATGAAAACCAATAAAGATACATCGTAAATTCATACATGTTTGGTATACACGCTTGACGACTTAGTATCCTCTTCCAAAGGCAAGTCATCAGCTTTTGTTGGTATTGATTCTATATCCTCATCAAACTGAAAAGAGTGAGCTTGTTAGTAAATGCAAACCACTGTGCGATTTAATGGCATACCCGGCTTTCTGTATGTGTCACAATCTGGATCCCACTCATCGCAATATCCTCGCCAACATTGACCCGCCTTCGCGTCATCGATCTTGAAAAGTCCATTCGAGAAGGTTCATTACTTGTACCACCCGTGAGACTCGAAGAACCGTGTGCCACGCGGATACGTCTCCTCGCGTTCAGCGTCCACATCATGCTGACGGCGTATAATTTTGGCATAGCCTGGATGAACACATTAGATATGCTTCTAATGTTGGGGTTTTTCAAGTAGATCAATGCTAAGTTGATCAGCACACTGTTGGATAATTCGGTTACTACTGCACCGAGTACATGGATGGGAAAGTACACACCACACGGCAGCCGGCATAGCGGTTTGAAAGGTAAGCCGTACGAGCGCATTTATTATACCAACAGTCCTGTACAGTCGTCGGCATGGAAAAGCGATGGAATCAGTAAACAACAAACTGCGGTAAAACGTTCTTCTTCGTCTTAAGAAGGAAATAGGCTGTTGCGCCCGCAAGCAACACGTCTCCAGCTAAGGAACAAACTGTTAGAAAAAATGATATGGTAAATACAAGGTCAGACCAACCAAATACAATGGCGTAGTGCGCTGACACTGAAGGCACAATTATCAGAACCTGGGCAGACTTCAATGAAATATGCAGATACACACGCCACGGAGCTATATTATTTGCATCTTGGGAGCCTGATATATAATTAACCTGAAAGGTGTATCAGCCCTAACTCGAGACGAATTGCAAGTCAATCTTACTGCGGCGGCGACAGAGCCAACAGCAAATAGGTAAATAAGGAGAACTGGTGCGGCTATCCACCACAGCTTTGATATTGCGTACAGCCGGTAGCAAAAATAAATCTGCACGTACAGTGCGATGAGCGCAACGAACAGGGTATTGTCTGCGCAATGTTTAGGTAGAAAGTATACAAAGAGACGACGGTGACGCACATTTTTCATACCAAACAGTGTTCGGCAAGTTGGCCGCACTATCGTAATCATTAAAATATACTATCTGCTGCACCCAAACAATGACGCTGATCGGTATTAGCTTGAAGCCTGTGGCCTTGAAGAAGAGATGGGATTCTCACAAACACTATACATAGTGTAAAAGACATAAGCAATTGAGGAAACACTTGAGAAAGGTCGAACTGACAGACCTGTATGGATTTGAGAGTCGTAATGACAACGTGAATCCCCACGGCCACCATAAACCGATAGCCATCCGTGCCACCATACCACGAATAATAGTTTGAGAACTAATTCAAAGTGTTAGTCTTGTAAGTATACTGATATGAGAGCAGTTCACCTGAGACGTAAGCACGCCCTGGAGAAGGAGGTCCAAGCACAGCCCGACCAGCTAGTACCATGTCAGAATTGACAATGTAGACGTAGAAGTAAGTACCCAGGGTCCAAGAGTTATGGCCGCGTCGCTGCTGCTATTCGGCTTAGCGGGGGGGTCTGACGCCATGTAAGCACCAGACGGAAGAAAGAGAAGGTACCAAAGGCCTCCAGAACTGTTTCTTTTGAAGGCTGTTCTTAAAAGCTTCTTTTTGCTTATGTGAAATTAAAGGGGCGAGGGAAAGTGAACGGAAAATCACCTCCTTGATGATCTTGCTGCGAAATCAGAAGCTAGAGACCGGTACGTGTCGTGGCCGTGGTCGTAAGGCGATTTGTCAGAATATCTCCGTGTACTCACAGCTGTCCCTTCGAGCGCAGTCACTCGGGCCGTGCCAGAATTGAGCGCTTCAACCTCGGGATTGGTTCGAGACTGGTCCTCTGGTGCACCATTCAAAGCGTTACGTTGTTGCCAAGAGCAATGATAGGCAATAGCTAAGAACTCTTGAGAGTCTTTCCAGTCTATATCTTTGAGCCTCTGTTATAAGCTGGTGTATTAGGATGAGCACCACTGAAATATAATCAATCAAGAAGGAAACCTCAATAAATCTAAAGCTCGGACTCGGTGAGGAAGACGTAACTCACTGACAATCGGTATCCTAAGCTCTCCACCTCCATAGGCCCAATTGGGCTGGGACCGACCCTTCATCAGAATTTGATCGCACCCAGGTTTCTCATACAACCCGACTCCGTCTTATCGGAGGAGACGAATGACTGGAACGATATATTAGCAAAGTCGAATGGCAGTGAAAATTCATGGGTTCGCCTTGGCAATGAATATAAAGTCTGATGGTTCGTAGCATCAGGACCTGGTCTCAAGTACATATGAAAAGGCGGCCGGGCCATATTTGCTCTTGAACACAAAAGCTGCGGAGCGTCCTATGTCCGCAAGGTCAGGGCTTGATGGACTGCACGAGCCTTGTCGTAAAGTGTGCAAAACCGGCGGTATGTAGTTTATATAATTGCAGCAGATTTAGGTATTTGACCACTGCAGCGCTGTGCAGTGTGCACCTGCAAAAGAGAGTATCTGTGACAGACTGCTGGCGCCTTTCATATTCCCTATGACGGGAACGAAAAGACCGTGTGAGAACATCAAAGTCTCCACGAACCACACAACTTCGTTTCTGCTGCCGGCGCAGCATCCCGTTGCCCATGCGAACACCAAGCGGGGCCTTTGCATCCAACATTCAATATGGGTATCCCTACATTTAAATGCTCTCGTTGAAAGAGGGCCTTAGGCCATCAGAATTTTCCCTCACAGACCGACCTTGGACCTCGTACACAGCCGTCTTGCGCGATGAACCGGAGGACATCAACGTGTCGCTAGGATAGGCGTATATATGATGGGTCCTTATGCGACGTTTGTCTGTCAGGAAGGCTAAGTTAGACGATCTGCGGTCAACCCGGAATGATTGTCATGCTTACCGCAGATTAAGTCGAGGTCATCTCCTGTATAATGGATTCTCCCCTTCTTTTGGCCTGTCTTCCGAAAGTCGAATTTCTATTGATGTCACGTCGGCGGAGGGTTTAGGTTAGGACCCGTATTGAGGTGCCTAGACATGTGTTGCTAAAGACGTTTCATTGATTTTGCTCGACAATTACCTGAAGATGCTATTTCGGTTTCCTGGGACTCGTCGTTACCATGGAGAGAGTTAATACCTATGACTGCTTTGGTGAGAGTTTGAGACAACTCAATTCAGGCAACAGTCGTACCTCGTGGTTGAGGATAATGGACCTTGAGGTCGCTTCGGGATAAACTTGTCTCAGTGTGATGTTCCGTTTTGCTGGAAAACGAAAATCGCCAGCAAGGAGCTCCGTGATTGTATTCACAATCAAGACTAACTGGGATACCAACAAGGTCAGTTAATTACGCTGTTATAGATACGCACCACAAACACAAGACTTGAGAATCTGAAGTATTCAAGAATGCAGAGTTCGTTACATTACGGGCAATCGATCCGTCTTCCGCTGTTCATTGTCGATTTCGCACCCGACAACTGTTGGCAGGGCTTCGTAAGGAAGACATTGATTGGTGACAAAAGGCACGGATATTTCGTCACGGATACAATTGTTGCCCACGAAGCACTTATGTGCGGAGGATTCGGGAGGAATCCTGAAAGTAAATTAATATTTCCTCCAGAAATGCTCTCGATGGACATATAATTTCCGAGAATAGACGTTGTGTTGAAGAGATTTCGTCCAAGTACTTGAAGCGAAGTCCGAAACTTCAATCCTTTGGTCCAGCTAGTTATCTGAGTTCTCTGTGGCCGATAGACTCGTGGACGATGCCAACAAATGCTAGGAAGGACAGATGCGCTCATAGCTCAGCACTGATTTCTATTTCGGCTTGAGACGGCGATATTATCTGTTATACCGGACATCGTGGCAGCCGGGTGCCGGCTTTCACTAGATTGGCAATAATATCACATTGTTGGTAGACGTACATTTTCTGAACGAGATAGCCCCGATAACTTGTAACCCCAATCGCCGGCGTATGTCAGAATGGTGGTCTATTGTGGCGGTACTATTCGCTCACTCGGCCGAAATGGAATCGATATCTTTATTGGAAGACTATTGGTAACTGCCCTTCCGTTATCTCGCCGTTTTCTCTCCGAGCTACTATGAAGATAAGACGAACGGTTCGCATGGACATTTCGTAGACGGGATACTGTGCCAACTAAAAGTTGTTCACAGCGTGCCGCTCCGTTTTCAGCTCATAAGACGCACCCACATGTCGCATCATTTCTGAATCATTCAAAAGGCTTTCTTTTTCCCCACCTTTAGAACTAGCATGGAAGAAACTGTCCTGAAACTGACCTTCACCACCAATAGCGTCCACAACGACCTCGCCGTAGGTGATAACCACATCTACTACGAGATCGTCACTTGCTTCTGGCACCCCACTCTTACGAAGATAAATATCCTGAACCCAGAGACACGCGCACTGAAGACCATTGCAGAGGTGCAGAAATCATACAGTGGCAGGCACCGTGTTCGATTCCTGGCAGGCAAATACATGGGCGAATGGATTTCTTCCGACAAATTTCTCAAGGTAGAGAAGGCGAAAATGTAAGCTGACAGTAATCAGAGGCCGCCGTGAGACTGATATTTTCTCGCAGTGGAGGATCTTTCCTCGTCGAAGGCGTCGGGTATCGCTGGAAAACACATAATCGGAGACTTCAGGTGAGTTCAGCTCCCTCCGTAACCTTTTTTGATTTACACCTTCTCATGATGCTCTCTAGCTGGTGCGCAGTGATGACGAAACAAAGACACCATTGGTAGTCTGTCAACCCCATCGCCGGTATTCATTAGTCATGCTAATGTCTCGGCATGCATCATTGCAAGTGAATCTCGAACTTGCGAACTTTATGGACAGACTAATCGGTGAGTTGCACCCAGTTTTCTAGTTCTGATGATTGATAAAGTCATACAGTGAGTTACATCCTTGTCGAAAGACGCCGCAGGATGATCTGAAAAGATGTACTATGGAATGTATAGCTGTCTTCTGCGATACGGACAAGTTAATGATTTATGGATTCTACATGAAAGATGTCCTATTGAAACAACGTCTTCACGAATTTGATCGGCGTCCACGCAAAAGATTAAGCCGAGTTTTTAGAACGAACTCGGTGCGCCCGCTCGTTGAATAAAAGGAAACCGATGTGAGCACTACAGACTAATGTGATCTACTAGAACACCGTGCATATGCGTGAGGATCTCCTCTTATTGCTCCGGAGACGCGAGCCATATTGAATGCCAATCCGTCTCTCTTGTAGACCTGGACATGTAAAACGCAGATGCTTCTCGTGGTATCGAGCAATGTCGCCGTCAACGTCTCCAAGTTAACGAACAGATCGAGGCATCTCAAAGGCAAGTAATGATACGAGCGACCATTTCAACAAAGTGAGTTGTACTGAAAGACCACTCTCCTTCGCGGTGAAGTGTTTGCATCATAGAAGGAATCACTCCATACTGTGTAGATTAAGGTTGCTATCAAGTGCATCCTCGTCAATGTTCGAGAGGTGCAGCTCAACCAACGCCTGGAGAATGTATGACATGTCTGCCCCTAGTACCACCATATTCGCTATGCGTAGTACACCAGCTTGCAGGAAGTTCTTTCAACGAATGTCAGGATCCGCAGCATTAAATGCGATGTCCCTCTTTGGCCGTTCTCCAAACGCAACATCCAGGCCAGCAAGCGCTGGTACTTTTTTGTTAGCTAACAGCGTTCTAACGCCGGTGGTTCATCTGTCGCCGCCTATCAAACAGAAAGAGCGCAGTTTTGGAAAAATCACAACACTGTACTCGGATTCTATGATCGTGATATCCAGAACTAGGAGTGTAATATGCACTTCTCAACTAAAACGCCGAGGACCTCGTGAGAGTCTGCCCAAAATATGACACTAGTACGACTCGGATATGGTTCCAAGACAGGTGATACGGTCTGAATATGGTAATTGGCCAAACCTCCCATATGTCTACTTTCCTCAAATTTGGAACCTCTCGAAAAAATACAACTATGAAGTGATTGCAAAGAGCCCTGAAGGCATTGAGATCTTTGAGCATTTCATGTATAAAGAGATACAGTTCTCTGAATCTGTATGAGAAGGATGAGAGCGAGGAGAGGGATACGGGATCGAAGGGAGAAGGTTGGTAGATTAAGCCAGAGAGAGGATGTGAAGCAAAACGTTTAATGCCGTGGATCAGACGTTGGAACCTCCTTCCGTACAAAGCGTAGCATCTTTGATGCGAATATACTACTAAACTCTGCTGCAGGAAAGCATACCGCACGCCACCCCTTGGAGACCAATCCAGTGCTATCGAGCAGAGTAACGGGGTGACGAATAACGCAGCTATCCAAATCTTCAGACGGAATGCCGCGTCTGATGAGGGGACGCTGGCAAGGAAGATGTCTGGAAGCATCTCTATGGGTACACGCCGAACACAGCTGAGAATAGATCTTTTCTCCGCAATGAACGTCTCGACTTTCAATTGCTGACATATATCGTCTTGCAGTTTTAAGAGTCCATCCATCACGTAAGTTACTCTCTAACAGCTGGCCGTTCCCGTGTCATTATCGCGGTTGCTGCATGGACAACATTGACCTCCAAGAGAAGAGGCACATTGTCTGTCCTGAGAGGGATACATGAGCTTGGCCTGGCACGTTTAGATGGCGAGGAGCATAGAGCCATTCCCGAGATTCTCTACACTAGTATTGTGGCCAGAGCTACAGAGTGCTTCAAAGCTAGAAAATGGAGAGCATTTTCAGAAGAGAAGAGAATGGCTCGAAAAATCGTCATCTACGAGGGAATACATACTCTTTGAGGGCAAAAAAAGTGTCGGCAATTCCCGAAACGCTTTTTTCCTTTCACCAATCTTTGAATCTTTCTCTCCCTAGTATCGCTAGCATCGCAAAGTTGCTGCACTCCCATAATCATTGTTCTTCATATAGTCATTTCCAAGCTGAATACTCAAAGGCGAACTGGACGTCGGAGACACATGGAGTCTATCCCGACACAACTCACCGAAAGCCAACCCCTTGGTGACGCGCCAGAGTTCCTTCCTGTTCATGATATCGACGGCATGGAGCCTTATGCCACTTTCTCCCAGAGAATACCCCGGGCCATTTTCCTGGAACGCGAGGACGATGACCCTGTCCGTATAATCCGGGACCACCGTGACGCGCCTTTTATAGCCTGGAAAATGGCACAAATTGTCGTCTCTGTCCTACAGGATCTCCCGACCACTCTTGAGTCCAAGACAGCACGCGACTGGATCATCAATCATTTCTATCTTCGCGAAGAGTCTACCCAGGATCCCGATCATATCGTTTTACCCACCAACGGGTCCGTGCTCTGCTACCGCCACGAACCCGTCGCAGAATTCGCGCCCGTCACGCGTCTTGACGCGATTGGGAAAGCAAACTACGTTGCTCACAATGATGCCGGTCACGACTATGCGAAAAAAGAGGCTGGATTCGTCATAGTGGGCTCAATCATTCACAACCCGCAAACATATTCCATCCTGGACTTTTCTAGGCACTGCCCGACATGCATCAAGAATGCAAATGAGAACTATCATCCTTCGATCCGAAAGTCGACAGTTACGGTCCCGGCCAGGACCAGCCGACTAACACAACAACTGCGGATGTTGGCGGTGGGGAGAGATGCATACGAGAACGACGACGCAGATCACTACAAAGGGAAGGCCGCCTATCAGGAACTCTCCTTTATTCCACTCTCCGTCCAGTCTTCGCTCGCGTTTATCGCTTCTGACGTGGCTTCAGAAACCGCGATATCGGATACTGGGAATGATAGCAACTATTTTGACATGGCGCCACCACAAATTCTGGATGAGGACGACGATGTGTCAGCCAGTCAGACCATGTTGGAAATCGAGAACAGCGTGTATGAGAGGAGGGACGACGACCCGCCAAGTGACGAGTAGTGCCTGTAATATCTAAACATCAACCCTTTCTACCGTGTTGTAAAATTACCGAATACCTAGATTATATCAAAAATCCAATGTTCGTTACCAAGCGCACACGCCCATACGTCGAGGGCAAACGACTTTGCCCACGAAGGGTGTCTCATCGTAAAGCACCGTCTCGAGGCAATAGCTAGCTCAGGCGCATCAAAGCCATGCACGAGAAGCGATACCTCCCCCGAAAGGGAACCCGCCTTGCACCACCACTTGAACTTGCAGGAAGCAAGTATGCTGTGAGGAACGCTTGGAGATCCGAACACATACATACAACTTGGTAGCGAGGCATGGATCTTTAACGTTTTTGATTTTGGGTTCACTGGCTCGGACGAACTGAGACACAGACAGATCGGGTAGTAGGCCTCCTACCATACAGGCCAGAGAATTACACATAAAGGGCGGACACAGATTTCATTAAAGTTATATTTCAGCTGCCAGAAAGGCGAGCACAAGGAGAGAGTTCTGTGAGGTCATCGACACTAACTAAAATCAGCGACAGCGCGTATTATTTGCCCTTTAAGCTCAATTAATTTTGTAGAGGCAATCCGTCGCTATCTTCATGATGCAGAAAGCGACAAGAAATCAGCATCCAAGTGGTGTCGTCTTTCTCTGACCGCCTATAGAGAATTCAGCAAGATATATGTAAAATTTAAAAGCCCGGGGGTATGAGTTACAAACACGGTGTCTACATGAAACACAAAAAAGTGAAGCTGTAGCGCCACGAGAACCAACCTGAATATCTCTCCCGCGACACAACTAGGAAACAGCTGTCCATATTCCCTGCTGGCTTGGAACGTCGTGTGTTCGAAATTCCAAGTCGGCGGGGCTAGTCCGGGAGAGAGAAGAACGTCGAGCCTTGTTATCTTCACGTACATCGCTGGGATCTGCTTCATCCTTGGAACCATCTCGAGCAGGCATGTGCTGACTGACCGGGGCTGGGACAGTGTAAACCTCCACCTCTTGACCGAGGACGCTGCCAGCCAATTTTGGGGCATCCGAGATATTATCCACAATCCCTCGGACGTAACCATAGGGGAAACGAGGGTAATCATTGTGCGATGTCAGAGGTATTGTTTTGTTTCTGTAGAGGACATGTACGGCTGATTTGAAGATTGGGAACCATATATCTGTGAGAAATTTGAGCGCTTAACATTGGGAAAGTCCGGGTTTGTTTCCAAGCGCAAGTACTGGTTACATAGAAAACCTCTGGCTTTCGATAAAGCTCTCGCTGCATCGATATACTGACTCGGAAGATTTTCGATGTGTCGAGCATGCATGTCGGCCATCACCGGTCAATAGAAACAAGGTACATCCTGCAGAGAAATGCGGGAATAGAGCCTTTGTAACTCGAAATCTGATGTGCGAGGTGGACAACCGTCCCGAAGGCTGGGACAAAGAGAACAATGCATACTCTCCAATCCACCAGGACTCTAGGTCGTGGAGGAAGTTGTGGGGGACGTAATGCGAATCTGGTCTTCAAGAGCGGAGGAATCATCTTCGATTCCTTCGGCCTCAGGCTCCCCAAAGATGGGATACTCATCCGCCTCGTCTGTATCGCAGCTAACGATGGGTAGAGAAAATAAATAACTCTGTGCTTGGATTTCAACTGGCATGAAAACAGCGGTACCCTATCATCAATGTCAGACAATCGGTCAAAGTGGTCCGTAAGAAATCAACCCGCCGTTTTCCTTTCCCCAACGCACGGATCGGACAGAAAAATCTTTGCGTATTCCATATCCGTTACTTTGGCAGTGTTCAGACCCTCCATCTAAATTAGAACTGAGGTCTCGGTGCACATACCCACCCTTATACATCCGCTCGAGTCCTTGCCAGGTCCTTGAGTATAAATGCGACATCAAATGCAACCAGAGACAGGGCCGTACTACTTGCGGCACTCACCAGTGCTCGTAGGACGATGCCAGGGTGCGTTAGTGAATCCAACAGTGTGCCTACTTCCTTGTACGCGATCCAGCAGTGTTTCTTATCACCATTTAGACGCCCTAGGCCCACTTCTGCCTTTGCAGGTCTCCCGTTAGGTGCGCCCTCCGGTGTCGCAATAGTAGAGCTCTTCATCAGAAGGATCTGGAGATTCTCCGGGGTCGAGTAAGGAAGTTTGGAAATGACCGGGAAGTGGCTTCTTCATGAAGGAGCTCGTTTTATCAACTTCCCCATCCCAGGATACCAGTTCACAGTCTTCGATCTCGATAAAGTGCTCTTTGAGGTCCTCATTGTCTGTTCGCGAGTTCTGGATATTTTCAAAAGGGGGCCGCTGTATTTCGCCCTCAGTCATGCCGTCATAGGGAATCAGACGTCCTTCAGAGCATAATACTTATCCTCTGGGTCGCCAACGCGATAAACCTTTGGACGCACGGTTGCCTCGGCCGATCAGCCTGACAGCACGGAAGGACCTTCGTGGACAGCAAAATTTGCGAAGGCCGATACGACGGCATATTGGTTCGACAGGGACAGAAGTACAATGAGTTTTCCCAAAAAAAAATAACGGCCATGCAGTTGCAAATGATTTATGTAAACGGCAGATTATTTGTCAAGGAAGAACAAGGAAATAAGTATTGAGAGCCTCGCAGGCTAATTCAGGGGCATTGTTCGTTGATGGCAAGAGGGCCGGTGGTTTTGCTACATAGATGACTCGACGCCGAAGTCATTTCGGAGCCGTTTGCTCTGACTCTATTGGTGTTCAAATAGCAGTTAATTTGTACATAGTATCAGCGACTTGCCGCGAGATAAGCCGAGTAGTCGGCAACTAAGTTGATACCATTTTAACAAATTGCCATGATTTATTATATGAAGGAAAAGGGATGGTAATAATGCTTCAGAGCATCATAAAACTGTCACTGCACACCTTATAGTACTATATAAAGTGAGTTGGTATGGTGGTTAATGTCAGGACCCTCTGCCTGATTTTAGCCGCGCCCCCTTGTGACAAATTGAAATACGATTGACGCCACATGACCGCGTGTTTCCGAAAGTTTACCTTGTCACTACCACCATTGTTCTACGCAACCGACCTTAAAATCACGCAAAAATGGCTGCCGCTGTATTCTTCCTTGACCCCCTACTCGCTTTCTACCCAACTCGGTTTTATCATCGTGATATTATGGCTTTGGGCGCGAAAACCGATTCGAATTCTTCGCCTCGGAATGACGGCTCTGGTTTCCCCTCCACCCAAGAGAGGAAGACTCCACCGCCAAAAGAGTCTGTAGCTGAACAGATACGCTCCTCTGTGCAGAGCACTCCGCTCAGCAATCACGCCCCAACTGTGAATCCCACAGCGAATCCGGATCATCTTGTGGCAGATTTCGACCGGTACATCTTAGATGACCTCAGAGACCGCGTTTTCATGTCCGCCGACCATTATTTCTCCAATATTCTACATCTTCCTGCCGACTGGCGGACGAATGGCGAGATAACATCCAAAATCGAAGCCGTCAAAAATGACGCTGTATTCAAGAATCATGTAAAAGCCTACGTTGCATTATGCAATCAGAGCAATCCTGGGGAGAAGAACTTCTACCACCCCCACAGCCTGATGTGTAACAGTGCATTCGACGTTCTCGGTGCCATTGAAGACTCTGGACTCGGCATTTATCGACAAGACGCGAAGCCGGTTGACGGCGGTTTAGAAAAGAACATCCCCGATACGTTGGGTGTTCTTCGCGCGATGTTCAACAGTTCCGGAAACGTCGTTGACAACATGAAGGACAAAGGCCCAGAGTATAACTTTTCGTGGGCACAAACAATGCATTGGCAGGAATTCAAGCCTAATGAGTACTACCTCGACGAGGGGACGGAAGCTACTTATAGAGCTATGACACCTGGTAAGCA